ACTGGGCTCAGTGTGTGTCTGTGTGTGTGTGTGAGTGGGGGGGCACTGAATCAGGCACAAGTTGTGGGTCAGCAATGGTCAAGGCCACATCACAGTTCTTAAATCCTCTCAGAAGCGCACTCTCTCACACACACACACACACACACACACACACACACACACACACACACACACACAGAGCTGTGCAGGACAGGGAGCAGTTTGCACTAATGTATCCACGTCAAAGCTCTCTGTCACCATTTCTATAGTTTGCTGTAATGCCAATAACAAAACACTGTTAATCTATTTTCCTACACGGTCAATGTAATGAGTTGTTACTCTTTACATTGACCGTGAGTCACAGGGGGGTAAAGAACCCACCTCCTTCGAGCATGCTAACAGCTCCACATGAAGAAAAAAGAAAAGATGACGTCTCTCTATTTATGCTCACCCTCATATTTAAAACAAATAAAATACTGATATGATGTTGATAATACCGGTGCTACATTAAAATGGAGAAACAGAAGAAGGGGGGGGGGGCACAGGACACAAAGAGAGATTTGAACAGTAACATTGTGACAAGAAAATCTTTGTAGCTGGGAATGATTTCCAGACTGGGAAAAATAAATCCTTAAAAATTATGCTGATGTCTGGCTTTTGATATTTACATAGACAAAGTCCAAAGTCAGAATTCAAAACATGAACACACAGTATAAAAACAATTCTGAGAGCACAATAATTAACCTCGTTCTGACCACATTTGTATGTTGTATTTTTTTGTGTTTATTTTCTTTGGTGAATGTTTTAACAACCACATACAGTTCGGTCCCACAGACAATCCTGATGTGACCAAAGTGCAGATGTTTTATAAACGTTTTGCACTGTTTTAGGAATTAAAGACATTTTTCTAATAAGTCCCACATTTTCAGAGGCTGAAAGTAAAAGGCTGCTCTATTGGATCGAGCTGTCCAGTTTTTAAGCCTCTAAAATCAGGGATTGTTTATCCTTATCCAGGGTCACAGTTGAGTTAGCATCTATCCTAGCTGTTATAAGATGTTAGGCAGGGACAGCCTGGACAGGTTGAGTATATCACAGTAACTCCTAAACAGTTTATGCAAAATCCTTGTAAAACAAGGTGTTTTACAAGGATTTAAGTCTGCACTTAAATCCATCGTGGTGAATAAGTACAAAAATCCTGCTTTAACCTTCGTTTAGCTCCTTGCATCCGTCCCCTTATATGTACGCGTCTGTCTCTCGTACGCAAACATGTCTGTGTGCTGAGGTCGGATATTTGATATGGATTTCTGTGTGTCTTGTTTTACTTACTCAGGAGGTCCATCAGCATCTTTCAGCTGATTGTTTTGGATGTGAGGCCACACTTAAAAAATGATTTGGTTCGGTCTCATCTGTTGCTGTTTTTGCCGTTCCAGCTGTAAACACACAACATTGGCAAACCACGGATAAAAAGTCAGACTTCCGCTTAGAGTCGTTGATGACAGAGCTAAAGGGAGACAGAATTTTAGACCTACATTCATCTGGTGACCAGCAGCACAGCTGCAAATCAATTTTAATGCTGCTCTGCGGGCAGTGGAACAAGCTATAAACACCACACTGACAACAAATGGCCAGAAAAACATAATAAGAGCAGCTTTAAAAATCACACTGACAGTATTGTTGCAAATAGTTTCCTTCTTATTCCCTGCTGCCTTCTGTAATGTGACAATATTTGACTTTTCTTGCAAAACCTAGAGACGGTTTAAAAGATGGAAGTAGTTCCGGTCCAACAAGCGAAGTGCTTTTAATCTAATGTCCAGCAGGGGGCGCCTCCCCTGGTTACAAAAAGAAGACATCGTTGAGTTTAGTAAACACTTTCCTGATTTGGCTCATTCACTGGTTTCCAGTATTATAGTTAAGCTACTTTCAGCTGGTCCCTTTTCACACCACAGCAGGAAGCTCCACACCACATCCACTTCCTAAGACAACCCCAAAGAGGATTTGTGTGTCCTGCTGGAATCAAACCAGCAACCTTTTCCTTATCAAACAAATGTGCTAACCACTTCCTGGTATAATAGAATAAAAATGTATTAAGTAATTGTATAATTTCATTTTTAAAACCGTGGTCTTTATTAGAGTCTGAAGGCTGGATTATCCAGCATGTGTCTGTTAGTCGTGCCAATGGGCGCTCGCTGTCCTGGCTTTCAAAGTCAAACTCTCACTCATCACAGCTGGTTGAGTGAGAGTTGGTTTTAAAGCAGCAAGAAGGCGAGGGGGAAAGTCTCCAGCTCAAGCCTTCAAAACAGGACTTCTCCATGAGAGATGTCATGAGAGATGGAAACATTCATCTTTTATACTGTCTGTAGCAAAACTGCTCGACTGCAACTACAGCATCTATCACATCTAACTTGAGTTAAGATCACAAGCCGGTCACTTGTTGACCGCCTGACATATAAATTATACAAACAGCACAGACATTGTAATAATTATTAAACTGAGGTAAAAACAGTGAAAAGGTCTTTTTTTATGGCATACAGGAGCTCCCTGTGATGTCACTGGGACTTATTGCATTTCCATATTTTCAGGGTCAACGGGACTCCGTCTCCTCTGTCGCTTAGCCCTTCTCCAGCCAGCAACGGAGGAGGAGCGGGAGGAGGATCCGGAGGTGCACCGGGGTCATCGGGCAGCGTGGCAATTCCCCAGCGGATTCACCACATGGCTGCCAGTCACGTTAACATCACAAACAACATCCTGCGGAGCTACGAACACTGGGAGACGTCTGACAGACTGGCCGCTGAGAGCCAAGGTAGGACGGCACAAGAGCGCGTACTGCTGGATGTATTTTCACATGGGCGCCAATACGCTGCTGAATATTTACTGTCACCACCGCAAGTTCATATCTCTAACATCTGGATACATGATGATTAACATGACAGGCATGCAAAGTATGCCATGTACATGTGACTCATACATGTGGTAAAGGAGTCAGTTTGAGTAAAACAGCTTTACTCACGTGTTGAAGATACTGAGAAAGACTGCTGAACACATAAAAACTTTCAGCAGGAGTTTTTGTTTTTATTTTTATTTCTTATTTATTTCTTATTATTTATTTGATCCTCTCTGTGAGCTCTTTGCAGAGGTTTTAGCCATATCAAAAATGGGTACCAACAGTGAAGCCAGTGTCGGCCAGCGGGGGGCGACTGCATGGTTGTAAGTGTGGTTCTATGAGAACACCCCCTGCTTCTACTTGGTCTACGACCTCTGTAAAGACTAAATTATGGTTACACAAAGCAGAATATGTTATCAGTCACAAAGGTCAATGAAGGATCACAAACAGGCCGGCCAATCTTAAGATTTACAAGTTACTACCATGCTGGAGCGCTGAGTGGAAGTACTCATTTTTCATTTATATCCAACTTACTGTGGAGGTTTTCTTGTTGTATTTTTTAGACTAAAGGCCTTTACACACCGGAAACCTAAAACCTGTCCAAATATTTTATGTGTTAAAGTTGTTTTTCGGATTTGGCTATTCTTAATGGAGCCATTCACACCGAATGGTCGAACTTGCAGCATTTATTTTTTTGGACCAAGCTTGATTTTTCAGATTTGATTTTTAGGATGCGAGTAAACAGATCAGACCAATCAGGTCGCTGCGTTTGGTAACAAGTGCACTCGTAGCTCAGAACTTGCACCAGTACTAAATATACAAATAGTAAAATAATACTGTTTTATTCAGACACACAGCTAGATGCTGCTCCGGGCCAGTCGATTCTTAGAAATGACTTTTCTGTCCCATCAGATCAGCTCAGCTGCCCCACTGATATCCTGAAATATGAACCAAAGCACTCCTGGATCAAACCATGAAATCCTCCCCCTGCTGCCTTCTCTTGAGAATTAAATGAACCCAAAATCATCTCAGTTTCTTCCTTTTGTTTTTAGAAATATAAGGACCAGCTCATCATCGCTCGATGTCGACTTCATCTTTTGTTATAGTGCGGGTTTTTTTGGTTTTGGTTTTGAAGACAAAAATACAACGTGTTCGGTGTAATTCTGAATTTCTCCATTTGCAACGACCTTAAGACTAAAAGCTAGTCTACACTGGTGTCCACAAAAAACAACTTGAGCTGATGTTGTAAGCAGCAACCACAGAAAGTGACATTTGGTGATTTAAAGTGTTGACGGGCAAAATAATCCCAAATTAAATTTTCCTCAGCTCACAAACGTGTGTTTGAAGCAACTACCAATTAGAGTGAAGGATACCACTGATTGGCAAATGAGAGAGTGGTTAATATGTTAGGTTACCGTGGCAACCAGGGTCTGTAACGTCTACCAGTTACCAACCAACCAGCACCAAACCGATTTGTGATGAGTTGCTTCCTGTGTGGTCGCCCGTATAAACATGAGCTGTATGAAAGTGAATGTTAAAGCTCTTAAAACCTTTGCAGAGAAATGTTCACTAGTCGACTAGTGAAAACAGACGCCAGGCGTGGCTTGTAGGACCAGCAATGAAGAAAGAACGAGCCTGACTTTTGCCCCATGTTGCCCACAGCTCCACTGGAAAAACACCAGCTGTAGTTTGTGTGTTTCATTTAAGCACAGAGGCGCTCTCAGTAACACTGTCTGTCTCCCTCCTTCCCTCCCGTAGATTTCTTCCAGGAGCTGGACTCTGTGATGGAGCCGTTGAGTCAGCAGAGCAGCATGACAGAGCTGGTTCGCTACGTAAGGCAGGGACTGCACTGGCTCCGCATAGAGGCTCACCTGCTGTGAAGACTGGACTAGAGCCAACATTAAGAAAAAGAAGAAATGGGCTGGGAGCTAGAACTCAAGTGAGATGAGACCCAGAACGATGCTTCAGTTCCCACTGGGATCCTTTGAATGTCTTTACACCATGCATGGTAATATAATGGCTTACACCAGGTGGATTAATTGGGCTGAAATCACCTTTAATTAGGAGTGAACAGTAACTAAGTTTGGGAATTTCAGCTGTGAACCACAGAATACAAATGATCATATTAACAATTTGGCTGATGCTGCTTTTTTGGGGGGGAGCAACAGTATACAAGTGATTGTAGCTTTAACTCCTGAAGGGAACACACGTTCCCAACCTCATCTCCCAGTTTCACTGAGATGGGTTCATTCTCCAACAGACAAGTGTGAGGCTGAATGTAGGGAAAGAGCCTCAACAGAGGCTCACCTCCACCAGCAGTGGCCCAGAAATGTGTCAATGATTAGGAAAGAATTAAAGCTTTAGGCTGATATTGATCCAAGTGGAAGAGTACCAGTCCAATCTATTAGTTAGGGACCACACTGGTAAAGAGGCTCAGCTACAACCACTAATGGAGGCTAAATTCATTGCACTTCTTTTATTTCACTCCATCTTCAGTCTTTAAAGAGGGATCCTCAACAACCAACCAAAAGCTAGAACCTGCAGTTATTAGTTAGTATAGAGTAGGGCTGCCACAAACGATTATTTTGATAGTCGACTAGTCACCGATTATTTTTGTGATTAGTCAACTAATCAGATCATGCATCCATTGTACGTAAAAAACCAGAGTTTATTGCACCAGCAGCATCTGCTCGTATATAACTATCACTAGCTTATAGCTTGAAGTGTTTAAGGTATGTGCTAACTAAAAATAAAGACAAGATGGTAATTAAATTTTAATGAAATGTGCAGATTATTTCCCTGGAGTTAAATAAACTCAGCCGATTTACTCAGGAACAAATAAAATACTGAAAAAAGCCAAATAATAACATTAAGTTATCTAAGTGACTTGTATATCATGTTTAACCTGAGTAGCGAAAGACAGCGGTGGGTTTGAAAATGATTTGCCCAGAGTCCGGTGTTCTCACCAGCTCTAGTGAGCCTTGAACCCCGGCTCGCTATCGAGCTGGTGGGTAACAGACGTCTCCGAAAACGTCGGAGCGCTTTTGAAAATATGTGGCGTCTTGATAAACTGAACAGATATTTGAAGTTTACACAGCTACATTATCGCCTGAAAACACGTTAAACGTTAAAAGAATAATAAGAGTAGTATTAAAACTAACTAGCTACCGCCATTGTTGGAAACTGAGCTGGGCCGCGCTATGAATTCTGGGACACGGCTTCTTCTTCTTCTTCGAGGTTTAACGGCAGCTGGCATCCTTGTACATGTAGTGCTGCCATCTTCTGTTTCAGTCCGTTATTACACTCTTAAATCCTACTATTTATTCCTGCGTCTTTTGGGATCTTACAAAGCTTCAAATGACTCGTCGACTATTAAATTAGTCGTCGACGATTTTGATAGTCGACGTAATCGTGACTAGTCGACTAATCCTGGCAGCCCTAGTATAGAGTTACTTTATTACATTTAAAGCCTCAGTCACACTAGAGAAAACAGGACAGCTATCTGTTTGTGACGGAGAGGATCACCTGTTGATCGGTGACTGCACTGAACTTGTTCCACTTACAGTGAGTCGGTGCAATCAGCTGGTTGCCCAGAGATTGAGCAGCACTCAACCTCTGCTTCACCACTTCCAGTTGCAAGGCAGTTGCACAAGTTGACAGGTTGCCTGTCGAGCAGCAACCTGTCTCCAAACAGAGTGCAACTCAGACTGACTGCAGTCGCTCTCAGACAGATTCGATTATTGCAATCAGTCTGCACAGATGAGCACAACTTGACATATTTGCAACAGGGAACTCGGCTCAAATGGTTGTTGCGTTCTGCTTATATTCTTACATCAAAGCAAGACTGCCGAGCCTCGGCATCAGGAGCTACGTGACATTTGCTGGAGGAATTTCTGAGTTCCTGTTTCCAGTCTATGATCTTCTGCAGTTCATGTCAATTTGTGTGCCTGTAGACGGCAACATATTTGTGACAGATGGCAACAGATTTGATATTTTCACCGATTTATTGCCATTAATCCATGTATTATCACAAACAGATTGCACATATTTGCCAGCTTGACCCTGTTCACAATCGCAAAGTGACTCCCTGTTTTTCACCATCGTATTCCACCAAAGTAGGAGACTGAGCAGTCGGACACCTGGTCGCCATTTTCAGAGCAACCGTTTCAGAGTTTCCCTAGTGTGACTGTAGTGTGACGTGATGACATTTCGGTTTAGTAAAAATATCTATTACTCTGGTTTAATTTGGGAGTAAAGAAGTTAAACTGTTACTCTCAACAATGGCAAAATTAACTTATTGGCAGTTCAGGAAGAACCTTTATGCCACATTTAATTTCTGAAAAGCACACAGTGCAGTTGGGTTTTGTGTTTCTCCTCAGTATCACACAGACAGTCTAACCCACTCCCACCCGGCAAAGCCCGAGATTCACACAGTTTAAACAAACGAGCACTAGCAAAAAGGCAATCCTTCCTAATGAGATTTTGTATTTAAATGAGGATCTTTTGACCAAATAAAATTGTAAACTACATTACAGGTACAATAGGGCAAAGCTTCAAAAATATCTAAAGTCTTGTAGTATAAGTTGAAGTTTCAGTTTTGTGGGCTACCAGAACAAACATCCAGTTTGCTGGACCTACAAATAAGGGCTTTCTTCCATCACATAAAGCATCTGTCTGGTTCTTCTCTTGCTGGTTATGAGCTTTTGTGAAATTCCACTCAGTTCTAGTTCCCATAGTAACCCACCAACTAAGGCGTCAAACAGTTACTGGGGGGAAAAAACTACAAGATTCAGTATGATTTGGCTCTAATTAAGCCCCCACCCACATGCAGAGCAAGTAAACAGGGTGAAACTGTCACATCGGCTTTTCTGCCCTGATGTCAGAAACAAAAACTATATCTGTGACTTTGTACAGCACGTAATGAGATCAAATCAACTGCCGGGTGTCTTATAGTCGTTTCCCCACATTTGTTGTGCTGTGTCGTTAGTGTGTATACGTGTACAGCTTATTGTGAAGTCTATTTAAAATCATTACCTGACCGAACAATAACGATGTTTGTGTACAATAATGTACAGACTGTGACTCCTGAAAACAGTGTTTCCTGTGTCTTGTGAATGATTCAATGTGAGCGAATGAGGAAGTGCTGCAGGTAAATGGGGCATCTACGTGTGTGTGCCAGCGTGCAGGCTATAGCTGCATTTACAAAGCGCCAAAGTGATTTTGAAGTCATCGTGGCGCATTAAAAACAAGAGACCACGCTGTTTCTACGTTTTCACGTTCGCCATCAAGACTCCAAATCAGTTTATTATGGTCTTTGTAAATCCAGCACATTAAGCATGAATTTTTAAGTTTTGGATCATTTGACCATCGCTGAATGTGTATGGAAGACAATGCAGATGTGAAATGTAATTTTCACTTTGACAAAAACAAAAAAGGAAAAAAAAAAAAAGGAAACTCAAGTGCCTCTATTTGTGTCCGGTGGGAATTGCTCTATTTATTTAAAACAAAGAATGAATCTAAATGATTTTCCATACCATATTGGTATAAATATGAGATTGTTTTTCGTAAAATCAAATGTTTCCATAAGCTTTTTACTGGCGTTTATGAAGACACCAGGGTTTGGCTTTAAAAGAAAAAAAAGAAAAAAGCAAACAAACAAACGTGATAATGTGCCAAATTAGCATCTGTTGCTGTGTTTTCTCTTTTTGACAGTTTGAGCAAGTATAGGTTTGTCTGAAATGCCTGAAATTTTTAAGTCATCGCATGCAATAAATGATAGCTTCAGACCAAGAACTACTTGTGTCCATTTTGACAAAAAAAAAAAAGTAGTATATTTCTTGTTACATAAGTCACATGCAGTGTTGCAAAGGTCGACGTCTCATGAAAATACACAGCCATTTAAATGCACAACGCTACAGCTAGCAGTCTGAAACCTCAAGAACATTAAACCTTAAAGAAATAAGTGGACATTTTGGGAATATTTTTCTTACTTCTTTCTGAGAATAAAAACTCATATTTGTATATGAAATATAAAACCTATAACTAACAGCTAGTTTATGTAAATTAGTAAAAAATTTAAGCTCAGTGAATGTATATAAAAGATTGACGTAACCACCCAACAGTCTTCAAAAACTACAGTTTTGAAGCTTTATATCTTTCTTTGTTTTTGAATCAGATGTGACTGTTTTAAAAAAGAAAAGGCTAAGCTAGCTTGTCTAGTTACAAGCTAGCCTTTTTAGCGAGCCATATTCACAATTCACTGATATAACTGGGAAGCTAATACTAGCTATTGCTATTAGCTTAAAACAAAGTAGACGAAAACAATATCAAACCAGCGGTTATGCCCCCTATACATAACTTGCTTTAATACAACAAATAAAATTCAAATGGTTTACATTTGAATAAAAGGCATCTCTATTTTGGTTGTACGCTAAATTTATGTTTTTTTAAACGGTATAAAAAATGGACGTAGCTAACATGATATCCCATTTTAGACACTAAACATTACCATTTTCACAATTTTAGTTTCAAAATACCAGATGCCACAAGGATGGGTGGGTTTAAACATGAAACCACTTGCTCACTGGTGAACTACTTGTTAATCATAAATTAGTTAGCTAAGTAAGTTAGCTAAGGAACCAAATTATCCTACACATCCAAATGTAGTATAACCAAGACTTACAGTGTTGCCAACTCCTCAGGAAGGAAAATCGCTATTGGTTGTCCTAAAAGTCGCTAGAAGTCGCTAAATGACGTCATCGCCTAATTTGCATAATTGGTCATACTAATGTAATTGTAACCTAAGTTGTTGGAGAGAGAAACAACATCGTGGAAGAGACATAAAGTGAGTAAAAATTGCATTTAGAACTACAAATTAAATTTCTTTCAGCAATTATTGTTTTTTTTAATGTCACAGTTCCAACCCTGCTCCTTTATCCGGGCTTGGACCGGCAAAAGTAACCCGAAAATGGCACTCTGGTGGAGTTACTTTGTGTGAGTGGGTGTGTGTTTATAAGTAGTTTTAAACCTTGTGATCCACAAAACAGCATAACAGTAAAAGACTAACTGCGTTACAGTCAGTGCGGGAGCAGCGGCTTCGGTCATGCGCGATTCATTTGCAGTCTGGACGCACAGGTGTGAACATCTGCTGCCCTGATAGCAGCGGGGGATGGACTATCCTCCGCCTGTGAGCGCTTTGGCATGGGTGAGGTGCCCACGACAGCACCGCTGCCTTTTGAGAATAAGAGCGATACGCGTTTTTAACGTCAAAAAGTCGTCATAAATAAGTCTCCAATAATACCAGAAAAAGTCACCAAATTTGTTGCTAGTCGCTTTTTAGAAAAAAAGTTGCTAAGGGAGTCTGAAAGCTTGCTAAATATAGCGACAAAGTCGCTAAGTTGGCAACACTGCTTACATAATGCACCATACGGTAACAGCAACCACAGCTAGTGCCATCTGGTGGCCTTCAGAGACAATGCAGGTTTAAGGCTTAATTTTTTGACCTAGAAGCTACGTTCATGTTTTATACGTGTATGCTGATGCTAGCTACATCTAGCGTTTTACTGTTTAAACATTGGAAATAAGACTATTTCCCAAAATG